GAAGCTGAGAAGTAGAGGTGTTGAGAGGGGAGGGCCACATGGAGAACAAACGGGCTGGAGATGTTATGTTGTATAGCACTGGCTATGGGGTAGAAACGGGACCGAGGAGCAACACAACTTTTACAGATGCATAAATGGAATAATCTGAGCATCTAGTAGCAATGTCAGCTACTTATATTTTACACAGGATTTGGAATTTCAACAATATAATGAAACCAAAGATGATGGACGCTTATCTGAGCACTGAAACACTCAGTTCAAGGGAATCTTTGCAGTTTTGTCTCTTGCGAGTACAGGGGTGTAACTGAGCAGTGGTGTGGGCTGGAGTAAACTAGTTCACACAGAACAAACACCTGCTGAATCTAGTTAAAACATAATGAATACTAGGCTACTCATAAGATTTCAGAGAGGAGTCTAGTTTGATCAATACACTAGGGTGGATTTAAATATCCTCCCTGTTCCTGCAAAGGGCATTGGAAACCAAAACAATGGTGTTTGTTCACTTGGAAAACTATGTCACTCTGGACTTCATAGATGTTCTGTGTGTCATTAAGAGAAATTAACCTCTGAGGAACACAAATAACCCATCTCTTCATGGCTGTCAGACACATTTGTGGTAGGACAGGGCTGTTTTAAGTCACTGTAGCAAATCCGATGTTCTGGATTCCCAGGGAGGATTTCCCTCAGGCTCTCCTCTAATCACCTTTCACAGCCAAATTCCATGTCATGGAGATAAACTCAATCCAGTGTAGGTCACAAAATCCACAATTGTGTAGTGCCTATGAGATCTGATCCTAGAAATATTCTGGCAAAATCCATAAGGGGGCAATTGTGTGGCCTTCCACTTTAAGAGTGGCAGAAGACTGAAGAACCTGAGAAAGCGCCCTTTGTTCATTGCTGATTGTTTGGGATAGTAATTAGACCTTGGTAATAACTTTAAGAACAAAAGCAGCTCTCTTCTTATCCAAGTGACCTGCCTCTTTTGTAGCATTTGCTTGTGGCAACTGTGACAAATCCTCTGTGGAATTGTAGCACAAGAGGGCAGAAGCCTGTCAGTTGGTGGTCAATTTACAGATAGTTTGCTTTTTTCCATAAATCTTCACAGCACTGACAGTCCATCCTAAAATACAGTTGTTACTATGGACAAATGTCAGCACAACTCTCCAGCAGGTTCTTGATTTCAGACAGTAGTCCTATTCCACTGTAGTGTGAGGGCATGAAACCCTGACACACCTTACCAAATTCTGTTACACTGAATTTAATTTTTAAAGTTATTTTGAAACACACCAATCAGTTTTATTATGGCTCTAGGGGTGGCTGGTTATTATCTGATGTACCCTAAACAGGAACACACATCTTCCAGAGGCTGGCAGCAGCTCTGGTTACTTCCAACGTTGTTACCACATGTTTTATTTGCAGTCCATCCCTAGAGACTTTGTTACTCTAGCAAATGGCCAACTTGGTGGGGTTAATAAGTGGATTGGTTCACATTTTGAAAGGACAGCCCTTCCATGAACAAGCCCAACAGACTGATTGCTGACTTGCTCTGTGTGTAGATGTCAAACAGAACATGGTCTGGCTGACCAAATTAGGAAGAATATTGCTGGGTTTATTTCTGATATCTCTTTCAGATAGACACGAGATGCAGCTGGGCTGCCTCAAAGGGCAGAGTAGGGGTATCCTCAGCTTTTTAGGAGATTGGGGAATTGTTAAAGAGTCTCCTGGTTTACTAACACACATGATGTAGTATGCGGGCTAAAGATGGATTCCATTCCATTACCTGGTAAACTTGGGCAGGAGGCATATAGTCCTTTATACATCTACCAAAGGCTACCAAAATAGCCTAATATCTGGCAAAGGCCAGATTAGAATATTCTTAAGTGGAAGAAATCCATGCAAACATCAGCTGTAAGACTACTGTAGTTGCATTCTATAGTTGACTGGGTGTGCAAACATTGGCTAGGTCCTTTTAGTCTTCAAATGACCCAAGAATGAAGGAAGGGCCTTGCCATTTGAGAACCAGAACAAGAAAAAACACAAAGCCTAGAGGCACAGGTGGTGACCCTGGCATCTTGATCTTTCACCTTTTTAGCCTTTTCTGGTTTCTTTCCAGTTGTCCTCAGTATAAATGTGCCCACCCTGGGAGCTGAATCTTTATTGAACAGAGACAAACAAGAAACATGTCAAATTAAGTTCAGGAGAGTATGTTAGAAGTTTGTACCCAGTAAAACCAAACTAACTGGTATAGGATGTTCCATCTGACTTGGTTGTTTGGACTTTGTTGCTTAACCTAACTATTATAGGTTATGCTAGTGGACATATGAGTAAAGTGAGCACATGTGCTTGGTTTCTCTTTTAATGTTTCTCATGGTTTTATTCCCTGTAGGCTCTTACGCTTCTGCTTTAAAAGAAAACTAAGGCAACGATATTCTCCAACAATCAAAGTGGGTTTAAAAAAAGTAAGAGCTGACCGACGATCTGCAAAGCCTACAACTGTATGGTGTGAGAGTCCACGCCTTTCTGTTGCCATGGGAGCTCCTGAAAGAGGACATAACAGAGGCATGGGTCCATCTAGTAAGATGATTCATGAAAAGCACTGGTTCTAGAATGCAATACCATACACTTGGAAAAGCTACTCATTAACAATATGTTGAAAAACAGAAGCAATCGTGAAATTCTAATAATATATTTTTTCAATCCTACCTAAAGTTTGGCAGATGAACCTTTTAAGTATATTTATTATTATTATTGCATTGCATGGGGTATGTGGGTGCAAGTGGTGGTAAGAGGACTATGTTGTAGGCCTTATCTATCCGTCTACTTCTATGGGAGCTCTAGGAATTAAGCTCAGGTCTCCAGGCTTGCATCACAAGTGCCTTTACCCAAGGATCCACTTCAATGGCCCAGATATAAAACAATTTATGGAATATTTATCATAGCAAACTAAAGGCCTGAAATTTCCACACCGCTGAATCCTTCTCCCTGGGACATTCCAGTACTCTACATATTGGCAAAGGCACCGGATATTGAAGTTCAAAACACAACAGTGGAGTGATAGGTACTTCTCAGTGTCTCATCCTAGTTTAATTCTTACCATATTTATGAGAGGTTGACAGGGAAGGTCTCTGCTTTACAGGTGGGGATAGGTGATACTCTACACAATTTATTTTTATATGCACGGGTAAAGCTGGGTATAGACCCATCCTGAAGATTCTTAAAACAGTAAGTGATCCTCTAATTCCAAGGCAGGCTGTGTTGTATAGTAAGAATGGCACCAGGAGGCAAGTGAATGCAAGAAAAGATGGCAATAACAGGTGAACTTTTTGAAATTCAGATTGCTACAAAAGACAACTTGGGGGTGAAGGACTTGGTTCTGTTTCTTTGAGGAAACAGGACATAGAAAATAATGATGAGAACCTGGTCACATACTGGGCATTTCTTCTTTAGTCCAGTGTGTGTGTGTGTGTGTGTGTGTGTGTGTGTATGTATGTGTATGTATGTAGTATGTATACATGTGCACCTGCTACACAGATACCTGGCTCAGGTAAGAGTTTCATATACTCTGAAGAGCATAGAGACATCTTCAAATTTAGAGCATACAAAATCCATCCATAAAGGGAACTGTCATAGAAGACAAAAGAAATCACTGCTGTTTACATTCTGATTTCATTAAGTCAGGCTGATCCTAGCCAGTACAATGCTTCAATGTAGTGAGATGGAAAGAATCTGGTGGTCTTTTCCCACAGCTACAATGCTGGCAGGTAAAACAGGCAATGGAGGTGGTGAGGGTGAGCGTCATCCCTGCCTCCTTGGAATGCAGAGTGGAAGCAGTACACAGAAAAATGCTACATGGAATAGTAATGGAGAGAGCATGAACAGCTGTGAAGATGTCCCTCGACGTTGCTTATTGACCTTTAGAGTCTAACTTCCAAATTTAAATGGCACCATCAAGTAGTCTAGGCTCCAAATTCTGAGATCAGCATTCTAATTTTGGATGGCATTTTTTTTTTTTTTTTTTTTTTTTTTTTTTGTTGAGGAGACTGGTTAATCAAACCCCTTCAAAGCTGTTATGTATTTGGCTAACTTTCTTTTCTTTTTTAATAGAGAGCAGACAGGAGACACTGGAATAAGCTATTATGAAGCTTAGGGGACTCATGTCTGGAGCTAACAACTATCAAATATAGCAGTTTGTCTTAGAAATTTCATAGCTGACAGAAAGGCACAGATGACAGTGAACTAGCTGGCTGCATGAGAATACCCACGCCCTAAAATAACTTTTTCATAACAATCCCAAGAATTTTGAAAGGCAGACAGTGCTTCCTCGTGGGATGGCGCTAAAGAGAGGACAAAAGGTTCCCAGACCTTTTTCTCTGGCACAAACGATGGCATCCCTTCCTCCCCTGGGCCCACCGGGTGCTTTGTGAAGTGGACTCTGTGACCTGTTTCCCAGCGGGACTCTAACTGCTCTCCTCGGATTTCGGATATTTAAAGCCTTCTAAAGGAGGGGTGCTCTGCAGTCTGCACCTAACATCGAGGGCTAATGAAATTCTTCACTGTTAAAGAAAACTCTTCTTGGTACCACACATTCCGACTACTGGAAACCAATCACAAGGAATCCTGCAACTCTAGTTACATTGATTAGCAATGGCATCCTGAATAATGAGGCTGGCCATCAGCTTTGCTATAAAGGCAGGGCTAAACCTGGAGTAGCACAGTGGTGGGGCAGAGAACAGTGGAACTCTAGGTGCTCTGGAGCCATAACCTCTAAAGACGCTAATCCAAAACTAAGACGTTAAGATGGAATTTGAGAATTCTTACTCCTAGAATTGCTAGTGGGGTGGGTTGTGTGGGCATATTATATAGCACAACTACCACTATGGCTTATCCCACAAAGCCTGGCCAACAACAAAAGAAGTAAAGGAGAACCAAGGCCAGTGAGGCATGAATAGTGTCTTTGGTATTTCACTATAAATCTGGTGTTCTCATTTCCTCTTGTGGTATAGACTGGATATGTATTCTATTTATTTTGATGTGCATACAGCTCCTTTAATATGTAACAAGTACACAGTGTTTTATTTTTAATGCCTATGGCATGCTCTGATCATCTAGGACACACAGAAAAGCGACATTATCATTAAGATGTGCCCATGATCCTTTTGCCTTTAAGTTTCCTTCTGTGACCCTTGTCAGACTTAGCGATAGACAGCTGGCAGAGGGAGATGAGAGGACTCCAGGCAGATACCAGCAGGCATAATAGCATTATCGTGTAACCATTTATCTTGGCAGAGAGGCTGCTCTATTATTCACTTTGTAGTATCTCTTTAGGCTTGTTGACCAGGTGACATGAGGAGGAGGAATACAGGACATGCAGATTTAGCAAACATGTCATTCTGAAGTAGATTTACAAAAAAAATAGTTTTCAGATTTTTTCCACCTGGCTTTTAGGAGTGGGAGTTATTTCATGGTGATTTGCAGCAGGCTTGCTTGTTTTTTGAGGTAGACAAGATATGGAAGAAAATTGAAGAATGCAGAAGAATAGCTACCTAAAACCTGTGTGGAGTGAGACTGGTTTGAAATCAACTTAATAAGTAAAAAGCTGAGCTTGTCATGTTCAGTAGAAGAAGGGAAAACCTAACGGGACTGCATCCCATTTCAGCAAGGATTCTAGGACTTACTAGCTGGGAAATAGGCTACAGCAACAAATACAAAGTAGAAGACTTTGTAGACACAGCTAGTCATGAGGGGACAGAAGGCCTTGTGGAGCCCTTGGAGTCTATTAGCCAGGAAGGACACACAGCACTATCGCTGGTTCACAAGCACCTGGAGGTGTGAAGGTTCTCATTGCCTTGGTTACTGTTGTCTGCAGAGAAGAGAGTCTGCCTCTTTCCTTGGCCTCTGTATACAGGTATTGTAATTGTACTGAGATTCTAGGGAAATCTAAATCCCAGTTTAATAATTAGTGTACTGGATTTGGAGCTCATTTTTCCACTTGTTTAAATTACAGACAAGCACTGCCTGAGACCCAAGCAGAGTGGTTGCCAGCAGCTCGGGCCTTTCCCTGAAGTCATCACAGGCAGATGCCGTGATTTCAATGAATATGCCATTATAGGCCAAGTATTAGTAGTTAAACACTAGAGTTAGAAATGCAAAGCTACAGGCAAGTTCATAAACACAGCTGGTGTTTAAGAAACCCTTAATGAAGTTAAGAGTCATTCATCAACAGTTCCAACACACTCAGACTGAAATTGCTTAGATGCCTCAGTTTCTCTCTCAAGTCTAAGAACAAACATTTGTTAGAACACCCATTACAACAGAGGAAAATCACACATAATGTTCTCGTGGGTTGATGTACAGTCTCTCGGGGTTGCTTGGGTGATGTTTGTGGGGGCTTCGGTCTTGGTAACACAGCTGCTTGTAAAGGGGGTACATCTGCTGAGTCCCATCCTCTTGTACTGTGTTCTCATCTTCATAGTCAAATCTTCTGCTATTTGGTTCAGTCTAAAAATCCAAACATTGTTTACATTAGCAAAGAAACTGTACATTCTTCTAGCGCATTGGCAAAAAACAAGCAAAAGCTGAATTCATTCCAGTCTATGTTCTTGATTCACTACCCCACAAGAAATGGCAAGGCAAGGTTCGACACCTCATCCTGTTCCAGTCATTTGGTGCCCACCATACCCAAATAAGAGGTGTGGTGACTTCTAACTACAAGCTCTAACAGGGATATGAGCAATTGTAGGTTTTGAAACTAGGAACTGGTACCCATCCAGGTCAGCTAAAGAACATGGTTGTGAACTCAAAAAGGTCCCCAGCATGGAAGGAATATATGAGATAGTCAAGAGAATTAAATCAAACCAAACAAAAATAAACATCAAGATTCAGCATTGGGGGATTGGGAAATGTACATAGCATTTGACCATATGCTAGATCAAAGGGAGACTTAAAAATGCTGCCTCAAACAGCCTCTCCTCTCGACCTTCCTTCTGACTTGACCCAGAGCCACAGCTGACACTTAATCTGGAATGCACTCCCTCTGATGCTCTCTGGTATTTCTGATATGGCTCCTTCTGCCTGGGCCTTTCAGTAATCTGTAGATGACTGAAATGCTTCTGAGATTACTTAGAAGTGTTCTTTAGATTACTTGCAAGAGTAAGCAAGTTCAAGGACTTTATCAAGTCATGCACATGCATGTAAACAGGGAACAATGAAGAAAATGAACTTTTATGGACATCAAATAAGACTTCCAAATGTACCTGGGTGGGTACAACATGAGCCTTACTTACAGAGGACTGAAGACCACCAGCTCCTTTCTCTTTGAACTGAGTCTGCAAAGGCAAGTGTTCAGTCTGGAAGACATTAAAAGATAACATTCTGTAAAGCACCAACATATCAACCAATACCAGGGAGACTCCTATGTTCAAGAAGCCAAACACGTCTTGCTAAATGTCTACCAATGAAGCAAAACAGCCTCCAGGAGAAAGGGGGAAAAAAAAAACCCAAAAAACAAAATCAAACAAAGAACAGCTCTCTCCCCTCCCATCTTCTCCTCTGGCTCCTGGTTTCTTGAGAGAAAAATACCCAGAACATCTGATGCACAGGAGCTGGGGCAAACTGCAACTATATGATTTGAGAGTTTTAGCATCACAGGTCTCCCTTTCCCCATTGGAACAGTCTGGTATTTTGAATGCAGTATTAGTGGGCTGAACTAGCATTGATAAAGACTTTATTGGTAAGAATCCCTGATTCCTACCTCTTGGGTTGTAAAGAGAGTCATCATTTCGAACATAACCTCAGCTGCAAAGGATCTTTCTTAGCCCCTTTGCCTGCTACATTCAAGTGTCACAGCATTTGTAAAGGCCTGACACATGCTCAGGTGGAGGCAGCCACCAGAGCATCTAATAACAGGACCACTTTCTCATCGGTCTCCTATGAGAGTGCCAGCAGGAGTCTTGTAAGCATACTCTTATCTAATCCTTAGAAGTAATTCTATAAAGCCAGTCTCCACTGGGAACTGAAGTTACTGGGATGAAGGAGATCTCCACACTTACGTTAAAGATACTAGAAAGCCAGTGACTAACTTCATGATCACAAGAGTTAAAATGTTACAGACCAAAGCCAAATAATTTTCCTCTACTTTCAGTCACTTTGGAAGCCATTCTGTTCTCACCCCTATCTGACTTAACATCCTGGTAACTATGAAAACGTTTAAAATGTATTCTTAGCAGACCAGTAACTTCCCATAACCCAAAGGCCAAGGACTGTTATCAAGCAGCATCTGAAACTGCATACATATGGCACCAACCCATGCATCTGGCAAATACTTTGACTTACAACTTTCTCCTGGAACCAATAAAATCTCATGTTACAGCTTCCACATTAGAACACAGTGTTTGGAAGAACTGGGATCTATATTCCCTCATGATCAGGCCACGATCAGTTATTTGACTCCAGACTAAACCATCTCTTATTCCCTTTGAAGTACAAACTGTGTTTTTCAATCAATACTATTTTACATGTGGCTAAATTTGAGGCTGAGTGGTTAAGGTGTCTCATCTCACAGATGGTGAGTAGACTGCTACTCAAGCATAAATTTGTCAGAGTCTACATTTTTGAAGCTTATATATGTCCCCTGCTTTGATCCACACCTGCAGATGTTATGCAAATACAATAGGAGGAAGATTAAATGTTCCCTGTCTACCAACAGGTCTTTGCTCCTGCTGTCCCTCTGGTCTGGAAGGTTTGCCCATTAAGCACTGGTAATATGGAAACTGCAGGTATTGAATTCCAAGTGCTCCATGTGAACAACCTACAGGTCTGTTAAGCTGACCTGCCTGGAGTTTTTAACCAGTAAGTGTTGTATTGTTAATGTCATATGAAAAGCACCCTAGCATCATGTTGCAGGTAGCATTAGGGGGATGCGGATTATCACAGATAATTTATAATATGGATAACCTTGACACAGGAGACCAAGAACCAATGAGAGTTTAGATTCCAATCAGATAATTAACTATTGACTTGTTATTACATAAGACAGGGATGAATGAAGACTATCTGATCTGTTTGAGATGCCATAAAAACAAGCCATAAACTAGGGAGCTCATGACTAACAGATACTTAGTTCTGGGGGTTGAGAAGTCCAAGATCAGTGCATCAGCAGATTTGGTGTCTGGTAGTTGAAATGCTCTCTCTGTATGGCCTGACTACAGTTCCTCTTCTCTCTCATGGAGCCTTTCTCTGTAATAGTAAATCCTTTCACGACTTTCTCCACTGTTCTCTGCACATCTTAGGCCTCACATCACTTGGAATTCAATACCTGCAGTTTCCATATTTGATTTCTTAATTTTATAACGAATGCATATCTTGTAAATGGCTTAAGGTAAATGAGGATGCTTATGAATGAGGAACCTTGGTGCTTGGCTTTAGTTGGCTCTTGAATATCAATCTCCTCTCCTAGTGCCTAAGTCTCACTACTATCCCATCCAGTAATGCCATGGCCTCCTACCCCGAAAGGAGGACAGGGTCAGGAGTGTGTGCCCTTCCAGATCCACATAAGTTGGCAGGAGCCCAGAGGTCATGTTTCTACAAAGGCAAGCCTCTTACTCATCCATGTCTAGGTACCTAGCATCACCACCTCCATGTTTCATTTTTTGCTAACCATCATGAGTTCTTTTCTTAATCATAATACACAGAAAACAAGACTTGAAAACTATTATCTTAAAGTAAAATTAGTATTTTATTTAGTTTCTTTCTTAGAGGATCCCTATACTTATTTTCTTTCCATTTCATACAAATAATTTTAAAAAATTGTTCTGTGTTACACATAACAAAGGGTAATTTGGTAAGATAGAGGTAAGATAACAGATCTACAGAGAAGGCAGGCATACAGTTTCTAAATCACTTCGGCCAATTAATCTTTTCTGTATAGGTATCTGGGTGTCTTTATAAAAGACATCTTACTTATAACTTTGTTCTTCTTCCTGTATCTGCTGTGCTATAATAAAACCAAAACCTATTTGTGTTGGTATTTAGAAAAAAAAAAGTTAGTAAAAGCCATCACAACCTACTGCGCCTTTTTACCAATATCAACAAACATCTGACAAAATCCTGCAATAGTCTGCCTGAACAGTCTTCTTAAACTGTCTAACCTGTTTAACTGTCTGATTCAATTTCTCTAATACTGTCAGAGAAGGAAACAGGAACTTAAGTGATGGACAGAACTGCCCCATCTTCCAGGAAGGTACAGACTCTAACAAAGCAAGGGCAAGCAGCAATGTTTGGAGGTTGCTCCTCTGACATAAAGTCCAATCATGGAAAAACGAGGAAAGAAAAGAGTAAGAAATGTTTATCACTCTCTGATGACCTTGGAGAAAAATATCCACCAATACACTCTTCCCTTGATCCTCCTGTTGGGGACCATCTGGAATGAAGAACCACTGTCCACCCTGAAGGAGAGGCACATTCGAGGAAAACAGTATGGCTACAAGGGTTTAAGGAGAGATGTGTTGCTCTAATTTATTCTACAGAATTCCAGGCAGTAACTTTAACGGGTCCAGAAAGTGCAGTATCACCCCAGCATGCTGGTAAACCTCTCCTATGTCATCAATGAAACATGAACAACTTCCAGGATGCCAAAGATAGGACATTGTAAGCAACGATAATCTGCATTATACTTGCCAGGGCTAAGAACAAGAAAAGCTAAACTCTATTTTGCTGCAATACAAATATGTCAAAGAACCATTTGCTTTATGATGAGTACAGAATCCTACAGTAGGAGATAGGAATCCCTGAACAATACGAACCTGACTAAGAAAGGACTCTATCCTACATTTGAAATGTTCATCAATACTGAACATACCAATTTAACTTTTAAATTAATGAACTGAGTTTCATGGGTCAGTTTTACCTTAATATAAAAATTGAGTTAACCCTCCTGTCCCCGCTGTATGCATGTTCTACCTCCAGGGTAACTTTCAGTTTTCATATGGCTCATTTGTTAAAAATGGTGAATTTCGTACATACTCTTATTTTCAGAAGTCTCAAATATATACTTGAATTAATTCTTGGCAGTGCATTTTTATTTGGTTGCTAATAAGAATCTAATGGCATGGATGTACATTCTTCATCACATACTGCATTATTTCATAGTCACCCCAAACCCTCTGTGTTCTGCCATTCCAACAGATGTGAGCCACTCTGTGGGTGTTGGGCATCAAACCCATGTCCTAAGGAAGGACAGCCAGCACTCTTACTGAGCTACCTCTCCAGCCCACAAATTGTCTTTTTAAAAACACACTCCCATGTTTTCAAACTTTTTCCTATCACATTCTCTAGGCGCTAGCCACTGTCACCTACCTTTTTTGGGATTTTCTGAGAAAATCCAGAACTGCCTCTGCTACCATCCCACTGGCTAAGATCATACTAGTCTTCTGACTGAGGATTGGACACCTAGATCAATTCTTTCTATTCTATGCCTGTGCCATCATTTGTTACCTTGATGCTAAAACTAGGACATCTTATATCCATATCTTACTTAGGGGTCTTTCTCTCCATTTCAGAAGAAATCCCCACACCTGTGAGAACTTCTGCCCCCAGTTTCAGATCTAGGTTCTGAAGCATGCTTACTTCTCTTGGCATCCATTTCCTGCAGCTTTTCTCTGCCATGACAACTACCTGACAGTAACAGCTTGAAAGAGAGATTTATTTTGGCTTATAGTCCAGCCCATGGTTGGCTGGATCTGTTAGTTTGGACTTGCACAAGGCAGATCATTATGCTTCTATGAGTGTGTGTCATGGCAGGATAATCACACCATGACAGCCAAGATGGGGAAAAAAGAGGGAGGAAGGGTGTGTGTGTGTGTGTGTCAAAATATGCTCTCTCAGAACTTCAGCCCACGGACACATTTTCTACAATAAAACCCATCCTCTACATCTCAATTCTGTTTTTATAACATATCAATAATGCCATCAAGTTATGATCCTACCAGTGAACTAACTAATTAATCAATTGGCCTAACAATCTAATGATCCCTTAATTAGTGGGTCTACCATCTGGTGACTGAGGTTTGAACAAAGGAGCCTTTGTTAGGGATACTTCACCTCCAAATCATCCTATTACCAACTCTTCACTTAGAATACAATCTAAGTTTCTCCCACCTTAAAGGAGAAAGGCAAGTTCAGTGTCCTTAAAAATTTCAAAGACATAGCATCTCAAAAACCTCAGCTGAACAGGGTACCATGGACTTGACCCTTCCTCCTGAAAGACCATCCAGTTCCCAAGGCTACAAGTAAAGATAGGCAGCTTCAACCTTATTGTGTAGCTCTTCTGTCTTCCACAGCTGCTGTTCTA